AAAGAGGCTGAAGACTGTTCTATCGGTTGATACGGCAATCAACCCAGCTGATTCACACGTTATGCCAGCCACACACCACATCCCAGGGTGGGCGGTCGTAGCGGGGCCAGGCGCCGATAGCGCATAGTACCGACAGATACAGTAGGCCTGGGGCCTTATTATTGCGTCGTTCGAGATTTTGGAGGTGTAAGAGTTCGGGTGCGTAACAAGTACAGACATGACCGGAAGCTGGTAGGCAACTGATCCGATTCTTGCTTTAAACAGCGGTGGTATCGATGGAGATCGAAGAAGAGGAATACATATGATAAAGGAAGGCAGTCTCCTAGGTAGCGGGACAAGGATGTGTTATTGCGAGTGCGCAGGTAACGTCCTAACAGGACCTTACACCATGGCGGCGAATCCAAACTGCTTTAGCAGAGAGGAAGAGCAAACCGCTCATACCGATAACATAAAAAATAGAAGAGTGCTTCAGGATGATATTTTTTTCAATCCTATTGATAGCCTTTATCAAGATTGTCCACGCGCAGGGGCTTTACACTAGTCTTTCTGATCAACGAGCATGGCTTACCTCACTATAACATCGTGAGACGAATGAGATAAACGCTGCTGAGATGAGAGGTGTGTTCTTGCATAGGTAGCCATATCAAGAACAACCTTATTTTTAACAAAAGCAGTAGTGAGTGCTCCCTGATGACACACACGAAGGCGCTTTTTCCTCACCACACATGCCTACTATCGACTACCAGATTAAGAGGCGAAAATTTTGGTTGCTTTTGGACGGGTTTCGATCCATAATCAGCCGCGTGCCGCAAGGGTTTTTGCCCCCACTGAGTTCATTTTCACGTCAACATTTCTAGATTTCTCATAATTAGCTTAATATCCAATAACCCTTCAACTTATGAGATATTCTGTAACGAAAGGGCACATAACAAAAAACCAACGCCGAGTAGAACTCACGAGCATCGACCTGCTTACATGAGAGACCAGTAAATTTCTGCATTGCAGATCTTTTCCGTCCTTGCCGCAACTACACGTCCGGAAGATGCTTGGATGTACCGTACACTGTGGTTTGTTGTCAACGACGTTTTGTGCGCCAGCAACGCTCCTGTACTGCTGGCATTGAACAAACCGATACGAAACGTCTACATGAAAAGGATAGGACTGCAACACAGAGAAACTCATACAAAGGGTTCCCTCATCAATCATATGTGAGCCCTATCGATATCGAAACATATCTTTTCAGAGGGTTGGCACAGCAAAGTACTGTTGTAGGCCACTGTAATAGTTTTGCACTTTTTAAACCTATGGATCAACAAGGAGAGCTACATTTTTTTTTTTCCTTTTTTTCACAAGCGATTCGCTGAAAACTCTTTAAGACAATCGTTTCGTCGACTCTTCAAGACAATCGCTACTCAAAATCGTTAAAAAATGTAACTCTCCTAGTTAGAATGAATCTCTACACCGTGGCAAAAGATTCTAAAATATCAAGATATTTGGTGCTGAATCGAATGAAATCATGGGAATTTTGAGCTTAATTCACTGGTATTCCTTTTTTACGATTGAGGTAGTCATTTCACTGATCTTCTTTTTTTGATTGAGATGGAGCTTTCGTCATGTTGATTTGCCATGACCCCTCAGAAAAAATCAATTTTTAAGAAAAACGGGTAGTCGGAGAGTCTCTCCTTAATCAACTAAACCAATGTTCAGCTAGAAAAAATCAGCTTTGATTCCAAACTCTCCAAGCATTAATCTACAGCAATCTCACTTAAGCCTGGGATTTCTCTGCACCAGTACGGACATCTCTTTTCCGTCCTTTGTTCACGGCTTCATTTTTCATTCATGCAACTTTCTTTCACCTGTTTGAACTTGGACATTTTTTCCTACGGCCAAACATGTCGTAACTGCAGAATCAGTAGTAAACGTGGCGATGGCCTCAACAGAAAACATGCATGCTTTATCCCGCTGCGCTGGTATACGATTGCTTCTACGTCAAACGAAGAAGCAGTCGGCCATGTGCAAATCATGCATATCGACTGTATGATCAGCGTAGCTTCCGTCGCAGAGCGTAGGAATATAAACGAATGGCTGATGTTGGGTTGTACGATAAGTGATGCAGTTTTTTCGAATGAAAATTACTCTCTGAACCCATTTTATGCAAACTATCATATGTTTTTAGTAGAGATTGTTTTCTTTGCCTAAACGATGTACTTCAGTTCTGCATTTGTTCCTAACGTGTTGAATTTCAGGCTTGCAAAATGGGAGGTCCAGGCGGCGAAAGTTAGCCTAAGCGCCAACTAACTTAACGCAATGTTCGATGAGACGACGTTAAATCGATGAGCAATGTACATTGTATTCAGTCACCTCTACTGAACATTCCGCTCTCAAGCTGTCAAAAATTCGTGTCGTTTTTCTTCTCGAATTAGCGCTTTTCTGGTTGAGCGTTGAGCCGTAGCGGCTTGTTAAGTTAAATCTCCCCTAAGACTCAACATATCTACAACATGTCATGTATCGCTTCTTGATTCACTTGTGTGTCTGTTTCGGTTTTATTTATGCTATGAACTGGGTCAAATTTCAGGCCTACATCATGAACTGTCCAGACAACGAGAATGGCCACACAGGGCTAAAAAAAGACCCCGAAGAGATGACAAAATTAATCAGAAGTGCATCCTTGTACTTACAAGGGAGGTCTTTCAGGGCAAGCCGCGCTTTTTGGAAACGGTTTCTTGCATATTGTAGGGACGCATGTATGGACCACAAAACCATGTTTCGTTTTCGCTGAACGGTTTTAGTAGTACCAAAAAAGTGGTGAATGATACCCTTGATGGTTCGAATCCCCCGCGGCGACTAAATTTTGCAATCAAGGTTGGCGGCCACTTGTTGGCTTCAAAATGGTCCTGACGATGAATTTGACATCTGATTTTGATATTTAGCGCGATTTGGCACCAAACCGTAGGCGCCAACCCAAATGCAAAATTTAGTCGCCACGGGGGATCGAACCCTTAACAGTACCTTATGCTTCTTTTTGGTACTGCTATAACCGTTTCAACGTCTCCGTAGTAAAACTTTTGCGTCTAGATTAGGCGACTTTGGCAACCATCGAATTTTGGAGGAGAGCCCCAGCTCAAAAAGAAACTACTCGATTTGGTATACAACTCAGTAGTGGAATACCCAGAAGAAGCCGTGATTGAGCACAATTCACATCGCTCATCGATTTCACCTCTTCTTATCAAACAAATTCGAGTTAACTGCTGGTTTGGCTAATTTTTGTCGATAAAGCCTCCCATTTCGCGAGCCAGAAATTCACTGTCAACGTATGTAAAAAAAGTTTCCTGAAGAAGACAATCTCTTCGAAACGGTGCGGAATTATATAACGACAAAGACTTTCCAAGAAAATTTCAACTTAAAAAAGCGACATTATAAACTCGGACAACTTAATATAATAGATAGAAGTACTATGACTGCTAGGTACAATTCAGATTGATTATTAGGGTTGATAAATTCAAACAACTTCCAGGATATATTTCATAAGGATGTCATGATGTTAGCAGTAGCGATGCTAGTGATACACTTGAGAGGTACATTGGGTGGACAACAATTCCATTTCTCACCTAGTAACACAATTCACCTGGATTTGACATCTGAAACGACAAACGACCCCCTTCATTATTGTGGCGAGTATTAGAGGCGTGAACGTAGTGCACAACCCAATAGCAACAATGATAGGCAAGACGCAACAAGGGGTGATATCGATTGACCGAGTATTCAACTTTGAGGATGTCTGTTTTTTTTTTGAAGGGCCCGATTTTTCTATTAATCGTCCTCACTAAACAGTAAGAATAGAGTAGCGGAAAACCAACTTAGAAAATCGCTAATCAATCCATTTAAACCAAAGCTTATTTCATGTCTGAAACGTGCCTACCCTTACCCACTGCTTGATGTATGGAATATTTGGAACCGTATTAAACTCAGTGATTTTCACAAAATACGAAATCAAAATTATAGAAAACCTCATTCTGTTTCTATTGCATGTAGATACGCTAGCATAGACGAGTACCATAGTATTATAATAAGTATGAACCTAGATTACCCAATTTTGTTAGAATGAATAAATTGTTCGTGATGGTGTAAAAATAGAGCAACCATGCAAGAAGGGATCAAATATCATCAAATAGGTTGCAGTGGCCTTTTTTCGAAAGAAAAATGTTAAGCGGACAGTATCATGAATTTTACCACCGCTACGGTTGATTTGCCACCGAGGTTAACATAAACACAATTGACAGGCTACAACCCCTCTCCCCATGACATCAATAAACACGCTTTTCAACTACATAGAGCGAAAATGATCGACTAGTTATAAGTTGTAGGTTCTCAAAAAGTTCTCGAACCCAAGACCCAAGATCTATCGTGTCAATATTATGTGAAAGCTAGTTTTCAAATTGTACTGAAGACGCCTCTCGCTACACAAAGATTAAAGTGGCAATCTTTAATTTCGTACATTATTTTGAGACACTTTCACTCCCGTCCAGCAGTGCATATTATCAAGTAAGGCAAAAACAGTCATAACAACGGTGGCATCAGTATTGCTTGCAGTGTTGGCTCATCACATGCTTCAGCAGCCGTCTGGCCATCACTGTTGCGCACCATTCGATCAGCTCCCTTGGATATTAGAAGTTCAGCTGCGGCTTGACGATGACAATACGCCGCTAAAAATAATTTTTACGGTCTCCCAAAACTGTGCCAAAAATTTTCCTGATCTCCCAGAATTTGAGATGAACTTCAAAAAGAACGATTTTTCAACTGCACCACTCATCCCACATACAAATGGATCGCACCCTTCCGCACCCGTTACTTCCTTAACACATGGAAACTACGGTTTTTAATTATGTCAGACTTCAATTTTGTTTATTGACAGATTATTCCGTACTTCGCTGTAGTATTCTAGACATGTAGTTCGGAGCGGTAGTGAAAACCAATCAGGACATATGGAATTAACAAAACCAGCCTAGCCACCTTTTCCGGTATCACACACAAGCCTTAGAACCAGAAAGATCTCTTGCACATGAAATACTTACCAAAATGCAGAGGCGTATTCCCTTCCGGATCCACCGCATTAACGTCGACTCCCTTTGAGATCAAAAATTGCACCACTCGGTCACAACCAGAATCAATCGCCCAGTGTAGGGCAGTCATCTAAAATACTACGGATCCCCTCTGGAACTCGAATTGCGCTTAAATAACTTACACCGAGATGCTGATCGGTACTATTGAGTAGCTCCGGCCTTCTATTGAAAATATCCATCATCGTAGTTTCGTCATCAGCCTTAGCTGCTGTGAACCATAACAACGCTTCACGATCACTGACAGACAATGAACCGGTGTCCGACGACTCACTCTGCAATAATTCACAATTTGAAAAAACTCCTTGTGAAAGCAAAACACTCTCTCGCCATTTTAAAGTTTTTTTTAGGTGGTCTTGGAGCGAACTTGCAGAGTGAAAAGTACTACCACAAGGCTGTATTGAGCGATCACTCGAAACTGCCAAAAATCGATTTGCCGATGAATCGGCACGGGCACCCTCCCGCTACCTTGTTTCAAAACCTTCGATGTGAGATTTTTGCAGATTAAACTTTTCAAAAGCGGTGGATTTCGTAATCCTTAGGAAAAATGGTTGTGTGTTCGAGGTTATCCTCTCCTTTGAACCAAAAGAAACTAAAAATGAGAGGAATGCGTAGTACTTCAGGAATGTGATAAAGAAGACAATGCGTAAAGTATGTATGATATACCATATTTGACGGCATGTCGGTTTGATGTACTAACTAAACAATAAACAAGAAAGCTTTTCCTCGGCTGTTGGTTCCACGGTGAAATGTGTCATGCATTCCAATTCGATTTAGAAATTGATGATATGAAAACATACGAATTTGAGCTGCTAGCGAAATATACCCCGCAGTTGTAACACTTTCGACTTTTTTGGAAAAAAAAATAGTTGGACCGTTTTTAAGAGCTGGGGAGCTATCTCTGTTTTCCAGCCAAAGTTATGGCACGTTACAGACAAAATCACAAACTTGTTAAAACGAACTATGACAGCTGGCCGGCTTGGTCGGATGCCGAAACCTTGCGAGGAGTTCTGTGATGATGGATCCCAGCCCAAATTCATGCTTACCATCTTCGTTACGTACCTAAATGAGAAAGTGGTAAAGCACAACACATGAAACATCTGCAACCTTTATAACTAAAAAATAAGTTAGTGGTTTTGGTCTCAAAAATTTAACGAAATCCATCTGCCAATCTTGTTCTCAGTTCGTAATATAAGAAATTTCGGAATGATGCTCGGACTTAATTGGCGCTCTACACAGAACTGCAATGCCGGAGGAGATGCCGTACTCGACAATGAGTAATCAGTTTGAAAGTTTTCGCCCTTGTTAAAGGTCCAGCGAGCCCTAAAGGAAAGGGATCCAAGAATGCAGCCATGAACCATTTTCATAGATTTTTGGCATTACTAGAAGCGTAGCAAAAGCTCCGATTTTGTGCTCTATTTATAGGCCGCTATAACAAAGAGAAGACTCCTTTGAAAAAAGAAACGCTCAAGTCTAGGAATGAGCCATTCTGTGTAGCGCATTGGAACTAACAAGAGTACTGATTGTCAATGTGCAATCGTCAGCAGATGCAAATGTTACCTCGGTTTCATAGCTAAATCCTCGATGTGCAAGCTCGTGCCACGCCTGCGTATTTTACCTTCTTTCGCTGATCAAGATATGAAGGTCGAGTCCGCAGGTTCTACATGAACTCCGCGACTGCGACTTAATTTTCAATCTTGTTGGAATGCTGCAACAAGAGAGAAAATGTCATGTGCCCCAGTATGTATAATTTTGACAAGATCGAGGCCAACTTTGTTAGAACGATCAATCAATTTTCGGAAGCACAATTCTTTTCAAAAACTGATTAGTTCACACTAAGCAAATGGAGAAAATATGTGTATATGTATGCTCTGGTATAATGTAATCGCTTCTATAAAGTGTATTGCATTTCGTAATAATTGTCAAGCGAAAGACTCCAATAGTGCAGGACCAGCAGTCGCTTGGCTTATAATAGAGTCCATAAAATTGTGTGAGATCACTTCGTTCAAGTTTGCCGACGATGCTTGGAAGGTAGGCGGAGGCGGATCGGAACTGTGCTTTCAGCGCAGGGTCTATTTTGCTTTGCCTAAAGAGCACAAAATTAGATTAGTTACACCTCCCAGATTATGTGAATGCGACGAAATGTACCAGATGGCACATCAGGGTTAACATGGTGAGAGGGACTTAAGTTCGGGACTGGCACTACTAAAGTTCATCATCTGCTCATGTGGCCGATGTCAGAGTCTGCGATTGGAGCGATCGGTCAAATGCCAATCGCGCGACCATCGCGCGATTCGCGCGACGATCGCGCGATTGACATGAGTCCCATCATGACCAATCGCTCCAATCGCGCGATGGGCGCGATCACTCCCGTTGTGGCAGGGACTGGCGCGCCACCCCTCGATGATACGGTATGATTGCGGAGGCTGCGCTCCCTGCCACAAGGGAGTGATCGCGCCCATCGCGCGATTGGAGCGATTGGTCATGATGGGACTCATGTCAATCGCGCGATCGTCGCGCGAATCGCGCGATTGACATTTGACCGATCGCTCCAATCGCAGAGTCTGACATCGGCCAATGTAAAGTGATCAAGGAATGACAAATATCCTATGCGATGCATGCAGGACCATCAAGGCAAGTGTAATTAAGCTTCACAACAATGAGAGGCTATGAAGACTTACAAAACAGGATTAAAGTCAACAACAGCTCCAATAGTGAACACTGATTGTCAAGAAGTGAAAGCATGATATCATTGCTTAAACAGTTTTGGACAGCACTATTTAATCAAAATAGGTGTAGGAATGCGAAAAACACGCGGTGTTAAAGTAGCACCGGATGAGCAATTGGAAAGGATTTTGCAGTTCTGGGGAGATGTTTAAGTCGAAAAGTTTGAAAGGGAGCAAAAAGAATTATTAAGCGAGGAGTGGATGATTGCTCATGGATCCACAACATGCGCCGATTCGCTCGTCCGTTCGCTCAAAACATATGTAATCTGTTTCGAAAAGACAACATTCCATAGTTTTGAAGATGCTGCAGTTTCGACATGAGAAAACTGGTCGACAGTTCGTATTTTCGCTATTGCGCCAACATTTTTAATGTAATTGGAGGAAATGTGCTGAACAAAACAACCCAAAGCACGAATCAGAGGACGCAAACTCATCAGGGTGTATGAGTATCAAAAGTCGTCGGTCAATGAGCACCCAGAAAATTGAGCAAGGCGTGTGTCGGCTTTGTCTTGAAGAGGTTATGAATTAAGGAGATGCAAGGGATTCAGAAACTTTTCCAGTGAAAAAGATGCATAGCACATACACTCATTTCGACGCCATACGGAAGAAAGGAGCTTTTCGTTCAAGAGTTCGTGCCGCCTAGAGCGATTCTAGTTCTCACAGCACGCAAATAAACACGCTTGCGCTTTCACACTACCCTAGAGCATCCTCTCGTGCCAAAATAAGGGTCTACTTAGGACGCCACGACTATGACATCAAAGCTTTCGGATGCTATGAAGCGGACAGCCCTTCACACTCAGATCATTAGTGATGAGTAGAATTGTAAAAATTTTACTCGAAATTTGGCACCAGCGTAGTTTCTGGGATTTTTAAAAAAAAACCGTGCAGTAATCACTGTAACATTCAATCTTGAATTCTCGTATCCACGACGCTGGCGGTGAGCTTCCGGTGTGACTTCAGTGTTATTACTTAGAAAGAAACAGTCTGAACTAACGATAGGTAGCACTAGCGGCATGAGTACCGTGAGCGCACATAATAATTTGAAACCATCAAAATATTGTTGGTCCCTTATAAGGAATGATGGAGATCGCCGTTGTCTTCCGGATCAAATTGATTTCGTGAGCAAGACTTCGAATAGAAAAAATAAGGAGGAAACGAAAACTGCAAAACTGGGGGGAAACCCAAAAAGGCGAAGGAAATTGGAAAGCGCGCGCAATTTCGTGTAATTGCAGACAATGTCACAAGTACAGTAGTTCTACGACAAAACATATCTGCTGGAATTCTTTATTCACTTAGATTTTCAAGCAGTTTCTTATTCGCTCTCAGTTCTCATCTCTCCGTAGTTCAAAGTGCTTAATTCATTTGTACGGCGCAATGTGGCTCGCAGGGGATGGTGTCAGCAGTGTCGCTGCCGGGTGTTAGACCGACGTCATAGTCGGCGACGGACCAAGCGATGGAGCGATCGCGATCGCTCCATCGCTTGTCCGTCGCTTGCCAATCGCTCTCGGTCGAGCGATTGGCAAGCGATTGCGCAATCGCTTGCAAAGTGCACAAGCGACGGGCGATTGGCCCCGCCCCCAGTCGAATGCAGTCGGCTGCGGTATCGATCGAGCAGAGCCATTGCCCGTCGCTTGTGCACTTTGCAAGCGATTGCGCAATCGCTTGCCAATCGCTCGACCGAGAGCGATTGGCAAGCGACGGACAAGCGATGGAGCGATCGCGATCGCTCCATCGCTTGGTCCGTCGCCGACTATGATGACGTCGGTCGCGACAGCAAGACCTTGCAAAGGTGTCGCACAGCTATTGGTGGTGCGTATCGATCTGCGGCACTTGCAGTCGTTGCTGGCGTCGACAGAGCCAGGTTTGGTTGCATGTCGTCCGAAACGACTATGCGTCGGCCTACTTATGACGTCGGTCTTAGCGAAGTACTGTAAACTCGAACACCTTCTCACATGTTAAGTAACTGCCCTCACCCCCCCCCGACCTCCCTGAATTGGCTTCGTTCTTTTTGGCTCTCGAATTTCCTGCATCGCGGCTATTCGGCTCTGCGCTCTTTCCGAAGGTCCATCTCCTCCTCCAGGGCTATGTCCTAGGGCAGATTCATATCGTTTGCTTAAACTGTCTGTGCTCTAGCCACGGCGGCATACTAGTACCACTGTACGGGAAAAACAAAGTTGATGTCCGTAACCCTCCCACCCCCCGGCCATTGATGCCATTTGTACTTTGACTTTTTCCTTCAGCACCGATGGGAGCCATAGAATCAAAAGTTGATGTGGACAAGATCCATAAGGAGGTTCGTCTGTTTATTTGATTTTTGTTTGCCGTATTTGCTTAATTGTATATTTCTACAAATTTTTTTATAGCTGGCCATCAATCGTTGAGGCAATGTTCACGGTTGCAATCCATACGTTTGCAACAGCGTATCGGCCCTTTATCAACTAAAGAACGGCTTTGGCCTAGGAGCACCGCGACAACTAATCATATGTGGCTCATGCACGCGGCTGCCACAGGGGTATGAGTCAAGAGATCCAGGTTGCGGCAGCGCGCAGAAACAACGCGGCAGTTTGGAGTAAAAACTGCAGAAATAATCGGAAACATGGGGTCAGTTGGCTGTGTTGGTTTACTGTGGCGCTTTCACCTGAAGTCATTCAGGCAATGGTAAGGTAGTTAAGGAATATGGATACGTCATATATCGCTTTTTTATGTCTTCCAATTAAGGGGAATGAGGTTTGCGTTCAGGGTGTTCATAAACTACGGATGTTAGCTATCTCTGGCATAAACATTCAGTCGATTATCTCTTAGAAGGAGCCGGAACCGGCGTTTGAGACAAACAATTCCTCGCTTTGCAGTGGGCTTCTGCTTCCTTCTAGCCTTAGTTCGAAGAAACGAGTTTTAATTAGCGGTTTTAGGAAATCAAGAGGTCGTAGTATTGTGGATTCGTCGGAAGTTGCGGCGATCCCGATTTGTTGACGTAATGAAGCGTGTTTCAAGTGAAATTAGCGCTATGCTAGTGAATATAAGAAGAAACTAACGGTGCATGATCTCTCGAGGTTCTTCGATCCCACTCGATTCTGAATGTAAAGCATTAATGCGGACAAATTCGAAGATTGGACAAGTTAATATACTTGAAATGCAAGCAACGCGCGCACGATACCCATTGTGACCTTGCGCCGCCGCTTCTGGATCTCCTGGCATACTTCAAATTACTTCTGTCGTCGCTAGGTTTGCAGCTTAGGCTGATTGTTCTCCGTTGATCTTACACAAAAATGAGCTTTTTATAGTCTTTTTTATTAATACTCCTCGAATTCCAAATGTTTTGTGATAGATACGAGTTCAAAATTTCACTATTCCTTCATGTGTTGGGTAATGAAACTAATGTATGCGTAGGAACTTTGACTTTTTTACTCAACTGTGAGGAAAACACGGCGTATACCCGTAGATGCCCCAAAAATATTATGCCCTTTAGGTGACCTCGAGTCCTGTCATGATATACACCAAGGATGGTTGCAGTTTTTGTACCAGAGCTAAGAGTTTGCTCAACGAGGAGAAAATTGAGTAAGTATGTTTCACTGGACTGCTTCTACACGTCGTTGTCATAGGTGTAGGTAGACGAGTTGAGTTCGGCATCATGTTTACTTGTGCAAAATCGTTATTCTTATTTTTATTTGTAGTTGGTAACAAAGCGTTTCGAGGGTGTGATTCGCTGGAACAGAAAGCGACTTTTCCGCTCTTCGCATGCGAATTATCTTTCGCTGCGAGAACCCACGTCCACTCTTAAACTGGTGGACACGAGGTTCACACAGCGAAAAGTTTCGCGCGCGAAACGCGGAATCGCTTTCTGTTCCGGCGAACTTCCCAGAGTCAACCCTGCGTTGCGCAGTTCTCAACGGCCACGTTGCGCAGTTTCGCCCGATTAGACACGTTCTCTCGCGCGAACATTCACACTCGCATGCTCGAGCCGTCTGTGTCTCCGCCCATACAGCGTGCGTTGAGGATCTCTCAACGTGCCGTTGCGAACTGCGCAACGCAGGGTTGACTCTGGTCACCCGGGTTTTGAGGTGTGCACTTAGGCCGATGTCATAGTTTGCGAATCGAGCGATTCGCTAGCGAATCGCTGGATCCGAGCGTTGCGCCAGCGAATCGAACGTTGCACCAGCGACACTGTTTGAAAGTGGCGGGACCCAACGTTTAAAGGAAGGCCCGCCACTTTCAAACAGTGTGGTCCTTTAAGTGGACTTCCTTTAAACGTTGGGTCCCGCCACTTTCAAACAGTGTCGAGTCGCTGGTACATCGTTCGACTCGCTGGTGCATCGTTCGATTCGCTGGCGCAAAGCTCGATTTGCGCCAAAATTTTCTCGTTGCGGAAACATAAGGTCCACCACTGATCATAAGTGGGGCTTGGGTTTTCACAGCGAAAAGTTTTCGCGCTGCGAAAAGTAAAAAGAATCGCTTTCTTTCCAAGCGACCCACACCCTGCACGTACCTTATATGGTAATATCACTGTGCAATACGATGGTTTAGGTACACCGAATGTAATATAGATCGACTGAAAGAAACGGATCCGAAACAGTATAAACCTCGAGTCAATGGTCTAGTTTATATGACGAGGCAAACGACAATGCCACAGGTTGGTTATGTTCTACTAATTATGTTTCAGAGTTAATTATTTGTGCTTATTTTAACAGGTACAGAAGAGTGAGTGAGGGATAAGACCTGTTGATTCGTGGAAGAGCGAGGCTTTTTTTTCTGAATCATGAGAAGGAAACATCGCTATGGTCTCTTTCCCAACGATTTTGAAAAATTCCATTTTTTCACCTTCCATTGAATTCCAAGTTTTCCTTAACACGTTGACGACATCGCGTGTTTTGGCATTTTGCACCGCGTGGGACAGGAGCGATTTTGCGAGCGCGCCGTCCTCACCTTACTTCCGCTTATTTTTTGTTTGAAAATGCACAACAACTTTATTTCGGCAAGGATGAAATCGTGGAGGTTACCGATATAAAGTTGTAGACTTTTCGTTGCGAATGAAATAGAAAGCATTTATACCTAAGTTTTTCCATCAATACAAATATCTTGAAACTCACAGAGTTTTGTATTAACTGCTTCTACAATCTTTCATATGAATGTTTACGACAGTGAAAGGAATACTAGGAAAGAATTGAAATGAAAATTTTGTGCGTTCAGAAAATCTTTGCTAAATCAAGGGATATTTGACCACTCTGGCTGCCATGTGGTTTATAGTTATGCTAATGTATTATCTATAGAATGAATACAAAAGAAAGAAGGAGCGCAAGCACGAAATGAACGGTATGAGTTCTGACGCACATGCTTGTCAGAATGTCCGATGCGGTGCCAAATTTCTGACGCGCATGCGCGTCACCCCGTCGTCAACGTGCTAAGATAGTTTTGACAAAGTTTTGACTACTTCGTTTTATTTCTTTCGTAGTTCAGATATTCATATGTGGACACTTCGTCGGAGGGTGTACGGATCTAGAAAAAATGCGAGAGTCGCGGAAGCTTCACGAAGCACTTCTCGAATGTACCGGCGAGAATAGTAGATTTGATTGAGGTGGGATTTGAATTGTTGGTGACTGTAACGTTATTCCGCCGTCAGTGTTGCAATGACGTCGGCTTTGTACTTTTCAGCTGGAAACGATGAGAAATATCGCTGTGGATGTAGAGTACCTAGGTCGTTTTAATTGGTCTTATCGTGACTCATTCTGGCTTTCAGAGATAAGAAATTCCGTTCTCTTGTCTCTGCATTCCTCATGGTCAGGATTTGGGGTTCCGGTGTGACATCCCGTATACATGAAGTTGTCTGTTTGCGGACTTCTATCATTTCTGTTTGTTTATAGGCGAATTTTGAAATTTTCTATCTACTTGAATCACTCTTCTTCTCTAGCCAAGAGAAGAAATGATTTCATTCCCTAAAACCTTTTTTTTAAGGCTCCGAGAACTTTCTTCACGGAACGGGGGTGACCGCGGCGAGCGCGGTAGAGCCGGTATTGCTTCCGCTGCGCGCGGGTTAATTTGAGAAGGCTCCACTCAGGGTCATCGCGGACTGTGCTGATGGAGCGGTTCCAAATTAACCAGATTTAGCAGAAGCAATACCGTTCGCTCGCCGCGGCCACACCCCATTCTGTACAGAGAATCCGGAGCCTTTTTCAAAGCATTCTGCAAGGTTCTGTTTAATTTCTTCTGCTGATTCTGTTTCCATATACTATTAGGTACCGGATATCTTAATGTCGTTTTTCTGAGTTCAGGAAGTTTCGGGGCCAATTACCATGGAAAATCAATTTCTCAGAACGTTCTTTTGCTTATTAATACTACGTAACATGTTGCTTATTAGTCCCTATTGTTACTTTACAATTTATCTCTCCCCCAATTTTTATACCTTTTTCTGAAAATTCCTGGGTTCATTGCGCAAATTCGTATGTGTGTACCAAATGCCATCAAAGTCGGGCTGGGAGCTACAGATCCGCCAACCAAACTAACATTGCTTTTGTTGGAAGGAATACTACCGTTTGGAATGCTCAACGGTTCTCCTCAGGTTTCCTAAAAGACAGTGAAGAGAAAATCTCTCTATCACATACGGATGCCGGCAATCGTCTTCAAAAAGATGGCCCTAGTTAAGCCAGCTGAGAAGGGGCTGCACCAGACTTGTGCTGAAATGGTAGGATACTTTCACTCTGATGGAATGATGATGCGCAAACATTCCTATGGATTTGATTCCGCAAGATATTCTGATAAATGTGTTCACCTGCCCCTCACGCGCGCTCAAAAAGGGTGCGTTTTTGACCCTATGTTGCAAAAAAGTCTCCATAAAAAACTGCCCACTTAGGCTGATAAGTTCTAATTTTTCTGTCGTGCAATGCAGACCCTACGCTAACCAGCTGTACACTTACTTTGTCCAGGCCTTACTTTTAAGCAAGTAACAGGGATGATTTATCAGAGGATGTCAAAACCGACCTGCCTCTACTTTTTAACTCAAAAAATTCCGAGCTTGGATCGTGCAAGGTTGCCACTCTAACTGTTAGATGAGGGGATCCTAGTAAGTCATTTTATGATTAAACTAACTCCCTCCCCGGGTTTTGAACTGAAATATTGCTGGTCCAATACTCTTGGTGAAAAAACGACATTAAGATATCCGGTACCTAATAGTTTGGCTATGTAACTTATTAGAGTGCGCAGTCGGTTTACAGCCTAGGGATGAGATCTGATCGCTTCTTTGATGGCTGACGTGAATTTGTTCTGTTTCAGCTGCTTCTTTGAGTTCATATCAAGCAGAGTCATAGTCACCCCTTCACTAATTATTGAAGCATTCAAGCATAACATTCAATAAACGTTGCTGGTTTATATTGTGACAACGCTACAGTCCTGAAGGAAACTACACACTACTATAGCGCAATGCTTCATATCAGTTTTTAACATTTCATGTGCCATCCTTATAAATTTTCTGGAACTTTTATTGCTTCGCCCCCAAATTACCCAGTTCATACTTTGTCAACGAATATACGTAATAGAAAATATTTAAATACTATGAGCGGTCCACCATACAAAATCATAACTACAGTGTCTCGAAATTTGGTCTCATTTCTCATCATTAATTAATAATCAATCTTTCCCTAGTCCAAAAAAAAAGACTACTATTGTATCCCGATCAGTTGAAAAATGTTTATTAAATCAACAAAAGAAAAACATTTGTCTTCGTGTTGGCCGCGTGGTGCAACGTGTGCATCACAGATGGTGCATGGACCGATATGGTCGAGTTGGGTTTTTATCCAGATCGATGTGTACAGTGAACAATATTAGGAGCTTTGGCCAAAAAAGTGATACTGTGCTCCAGTAGTATAACACGAAGGGACCATTTGACTTGTAAATGTAACACTGGCGCACTGTGTCGAAGAAAAAAAGATCTGCTGAGATGCTGACGGAGGGCAGTTCGAGGGCTATTAAATAACGCCAGATTGAACTTTTGAAAACGACTGTTTGATATGTCAGTTGGAGTGAGTCACTCACGCAATCACGTGTCACGCGTTACTTTCATTGGCCAAATTAGGGCCGTATTCAATTCTGCGCCCCAGGGGATGCATCCCCTCCTCTGATCAGGAGACGAAACACAAGGGATCGATACCACGTCAGGACCGCCCACTGTGTGCCAGACAGTTAAGAGCAGCCAGCAGCGACCCCTCCGGGAAAAAGAGTGCTCCAACAGTGGAGGGTGAGCGCTGTTCTAGCTGGCAGGCAGATAGAGGTCTTGCGGTCCTATGACGCAACTCTTTTTGTCTCCCCTGAAGAGAGGACTGAATTAGAGGAGGATGTGTCCCTTGTGGGAAGGATTGAATACGGTTCCTGATGTGTTTGGAAACTTTTTTTATTTTTGATCTAGCGTAGCCAATAGACAATGAAATTGCCCCGAATTCACATATTATATTCAGAATCTAGTGTAGATTACGATGGGTAACATGATTTTTTGAAAACTGAAATCGCATTTGAAAAATACGAATTTTTATAAGAAATGGCGCGTCAAAAGTTTGGAAACTTCCGAATTCCAAAGCGAATTCGGCAAAATAGCTCTCAAATCCACATGATAAATTAGTTATTTGATGAGTAGCTTTGAATTTCTATGTTAGCGTCGTTTTTATTGACATGGAGTTGATTATAAAATAATTTTAGGATTTTTAAGTCGAACCTCACACACTGTGAACTAAATCACATTGTTTGGTGGGATTCTTAACTGGAATGTGGGTTGAGCGACATGCCAGTTCTTCCGTGGGATGTAGAACTCAATTAGACTTCAGATCTTGACTTGGTCGCTTCATAACAGCTTCTTTTTCTGGGTTTAGGAAGGCGGCAGTGAGGAGGTAGGCCTGCATTGGGTCATTTCCGTAATAGAAAACCCATCTTTTCCGGCTAGTTCTGACTATCGAAGGGAAGCATTGTATTCTACAGACTATACTTGTACTTAGCCCAACCCACATTTCGCTGGATACCTAGAACTGGGAATCGCCGAATGGTCGGACACATCTTCATCCATGACAATACTTCCACTATTTCTGACTGTTGGAATCTCATACTCAAAATGAGGTTCCCATTTGACAAAACACTTCACAGGGTCCACATATTATTTCTAGGAAGATAGAAATCTCATTCGTCGCTGAGGACAAAGTTTCACCTCTCGCTTCGGTCCATGTTAGCCGTTAGTGTGCGGAAGCCAGTTGGGCCATCCTGCTCTTGAAGCCCAACAATGGCTTCTTGTTGGGACATCATCCGTAATATTCACCAGGTCGCGGCCGATGTTGGGTGCACTTGGACTTTCATATGATTAGGAAAAAAACCAGAAAAAGTTGTCTCTTAGTTGGGAATGTCGGGGGTACGGGACGTGCCAACCACCCTTCGAAGTATTTGAGGAGGGCCAATTTCTTGTGAGATACTTTTTTGTGAATGATCATTCTTCTTATGCTTACTCGACTCCAATAACGCTAGAAACATTCGATAATATTGCTTCCGTAGAGACTGAACTACTAAGAAACAATTTCAATTTCGTATTCCGGATTGTAGGGTTTAAAAAAGGACCCCCATGGAAAAACTGCTTCCTTTGCATATGAATTCATTTTGAAATTACACATTGCTCAATGGTTGAACTAAAATTAACAGAAACAAGTAAACATTGAAGAGTAGGAATCATAATGATAAGGGAAACAAAAAGTTTCCAAACTTTTGACGCGCCATTACTTGAAAAAATCTTATTTCTCAAATATGATTATAGGTTTTTGGAAATTGTTCTTCCCGTCGTATTCTGAACTTGATTTTGTATGGAATATCTAAATTTGAGACAATTTCGTCG